AATTAATTGAAATTATATTATTTTACTCTAAAAAATTGCAACGGGAAAGTCCTCAGCCTAATGGTTTAAATTTTTTTTATTATCAGATAGAACAATTTGTATCTCCCTTCCAAGTACCTAAAAAATATTTCGTTTTGTGAACTTTTTACGAAATTGAATGCGAAAATAACATTTGTTTTTTATCCACCCCCAATATATATACTTTAAATACCATTTCTTTTACTCACGTTTTGACACTACACTTACCACCTTTGCCGTTTTGTAAATCAATAAAAATTGATCGTAATGCGCACGCGCGCTGTCTTCCAGACGCATCTGACCCAAATCTTCAACTTCCAAAGGCTCTTTGTAGCCGAACCAGAGCAAAGGTGTGAGCCACCAAAAGCAAGCTTTCGAATAAAAAGTGGCTAATGTGTGTTTGTAGCCGATTTTTTCATAATCCTCTAAATAATCGGGACGATAACGCTGTTAATTATAAAAAATTTAAAAAGGAAAAAAATCGGAAATAAAAATTTATGACAATAAAATATTGTTCAGATTTTCAATAGCATGCCATACAATTTTTGTATACCTCTTTGTAGATGGTAAAGCCGTCAATAGCCGCCATGCCGAACAGTGACATAACGGATAAAGTTTCAAGACAAGCCTCCATTTCGTAAATATTTTGAAAATAGGAGATCTCAGCAAGCTCATAAATGCGCACGAAGGATATAAATAACTCAATGATGCAAGTGAAGTATAAATAATCTGGAGTGGAGTAGAGATAAAAAACAGCAACAAAAATAATGAAATAAAAATATTTTGTGAGTTTTTTTTTTTTTTTTTTTTTTTTAATAACTAACATTAATCGTATTCTTCTTATCTTATCTCGCTTCATTTATATCACTCACTTGTCGATTTCTTCACCTCGACCACGCGATGATACCACATTAGTATTAGGGTGAGACACAGCGCAGCCAAAGCATTCCACAATAAATCGCTGCCAACAACTAAATAAGTCATATTTGCCGCTATATTATTATCATCTATATTTTTTTGTTGTGATAGCTCTGCTGATAACGGCAACAAAGCACGTGCGAGCTCTATTGTGTTTGAAGAAAATAACAGCAACGCCGTGGCAGCGCGTAAATTGTGATACAAAAGTAGTGTGTGATGTAGTCTAGAAGTAAAAAATTTTGTTTTTATTATTATTGGTGTGAACTTAAATATATAAATAGTTTACTGCAGTTCAGATATATGCATATATCATCTAATCAAAATTGACCAGGACTGACAGGGGAAGAGTGTTAGCTTCCTTTCATAAAAGAAATGTCGGTGTGATGCTCGTCGCTTTCTTTGATAACAGTGGAGTAAACCACTGAATTCATTCCATTTGGTTAAATGGTCAATAAGGAATAATACTTGTACATATATTTTGAGCCATAACGAAGGGATTTTTGCGCCGCCACATTTTAGCATTATTGTGAGTAACTTTTTAGCCAAACTTGAAACGAAAGTCATCGCTCAACCATCGCATTCGCCATATTTGGCTCCTATTTAAAAATCTGAAAAATTCGCTTTGGATCCATGAGTGCGTCAAAGTAATTCGTTGCAGACACTGATATCTATCCCTGTCGAGGCTTATAACAACTACATGAAAATTATATTAAGCGTGTAAGAAGCCGATTTTGAAGACGATAGTTAAGATTTATAATAAAATATAAAACGTGTTGACGTTACGCATCAAATTTGCTAAGGAAAAATATATTAGAAGTTCCGAACCTATGCCTTAACTTCACAATTTTGAGTGAATCTCTTGTCTGTGCCATGACATTAGTGTCTACGTAACCGAAAGGGAACCGGATTTTAAACGACTATGAAAAGTCAACTCAGCAAAAATGCTTGAAGCATGCTAGGCAAAGAGCCCGATTTGCCAGACAAACGATTAGATGGGTCTCTGAGCAAACCTTAAAAGCCAGTCGAAACGAAATACCTCTTCTCAATATGATTAAAATCGATGAACGAGACATAAATGAATGTATATTCATTTTGATGCAGCCCCATACTCAATACAAAATTCACCAAAAAAATCTCATTCGCTCGCCAGACAACATAAAATGCCACAATCTCAGACAAATTGTCTCATTAAACTCATTCAGGAAATTTCATTCATAAAATTGACGCAGCAAAAGAACAACAAACACAAACAAAACCCAAAGTCTCATTCATCGTGGCATTCGATAAAGTACCGCAAGTAGCTTGCACTTACAGCAACTTGTGTGTAGCACACGAATACAGTGGTGCCGCAGACTCCAAGTGCCACTTGGCCGAAGATATACAAATTGATTTATCGGCTCGGCTACACCTTACACCAATTAATGCACCGCAAATAGCACTAATAATGAAAACAAACAGTGAAACCCAGACACAAACAACAACAACACACCAGAAGTGCAATAAGTGCACATAATAATAAAAGTACAACAACAAAAACAAATATACTAAATGAGAAGCATGTAAATGGGCAACACGTGTGAATGCAACGAAGCTGCATCGGCAGCCACATAAATATAACAACAAACGCGTGTGTTGCATTTAAAGTGGCTTGTGTGCTTAGTTGCATAGATAATATATAAATATGTGTGGTTGTATGAATGTATGAGTTTGGTAAATAGTGATGATTCGCCAACTTCAATTGCTGCCACACACCTGCCACAACGCTGTTTTACTTAAGTTTCGGACGAGAACGTGTGGCGCAACCCAGGAGGAACTCAGGAACTTAAGGAGTTACATGGGCTACAATCGAAATCGAATTTTTATTGTCTTTTAATTATATAATATCTCTAGAAAATTTTCTCAAATGCTCCAGTTGATCTGAGTAATAGTTTCGGAGATACAGCTTTGAAAAGTTGCACGCTCGGGGTTATCAATATAATTACTTAAAATCTTAATCGTGTTTTTCTCGAAACTTTGTTTTCAAAATCGGTTGTCAAGATTTCTCGCGAAATACTCAACCGATTTTAATGGAATTTAACACTATATTTGTCAAGGTTTTAATATTATTTTTTAAAAATTTATTAAAATTTTCGAAAAATATTTTTATATCTTTGGATTAATAAAAATTTTGTATGAAATGTTTCCTTTTTGACATTATAAAATTATTGATAATATACCGTTTTTGCTCGAGGAAATCCATGTAGCCAACTGTTCCTACTAATGATAAGATCCTTGAGAATAAAAGAACGCGCGCTCAATTTGAGATCAATATCTAAAAAACTGAGACTGGTTTTTTTTCCTTATATGCACACAGTCAGGCTCTTTTCAAGGCTAAAACGGCCCAACGTGTCACCCAAATCATAAATTTACAGGGCCTTCTTTCCTTATGGGTAATAGAAACTTCAAAGCAAACTTATCTACCCTGTACAGAGCATAAAAAGTTTTAAAATCTAAGTTTTAAAATCAGTAATTAAATGGTTCGAAAGAGGACGACTATCTCTCTCTCTTTCTCTCTCTCTCTTTCTCTCTCTCTCTAATAATTTACAAAACGATTGCTTAGCAGCTGATCATTTGTCGAAGAAATGTAGTTCGTAAAGAATTTGAAGATTGCCATGAACTCCTGTGTTCGGACTTACAGATCGCAAAAACAAATTTGCACAGGCTTTTAAAATCCATTCCCGCCTGTTCGGTAGGATGTCTGTAAGTATGTACTCTCAAGTGTTTGTGTCTTGAGCCCCCAAACCTGGGTCAGTTAAGAAGGAAGTGTTGAGTTGTTTCCACCTTGCCTTCTTGTATACAGCTTCTACAGATATCGTCTGATAGGTTTTCCAGCCTCATTCCGTGGACACCAATAGGGTAATGGCCTGTTAAAAGCGTGATAACTAGGGAGAGGCTAGCCTTACTGAGGGCAGAGCAATCTCTTGCGATCGATCTTGTGCCAAAAGGCAGGGCATATACCGATGGTGACCCAGCGCTGACGAAGCTTTCTCTAAGGACAGCCACACTACCGATAGCAGCTCTATGGTGCCTTTTTTTGCTATCTCATCAGCTTTATAATTTCCTTCGATTCCGCTGTGGCCCGGCACTGATACCTATTGCTAGCGAGGTTATCCACTAATTGACCAGCCCAGAACACACTTTTAATGAGTTCAAGGCTAGTATCATCGCTCGGCTATCTGAGTGGACAGTCAACATTAAGTCCCAATACAAAAAAAAACTTTTTCTCAAATTTGCATTTTTCAAATTGACAGTGATACTCGGACTGGTTAACAAAGTTTTGAATGGAGAAATTATTTTTTTTTTTCCTTTCTTCCAGCATAATTTGTCAAAGAAAGGCATTTTTTGGGGCTCATGACTCACGTAATCTCTTCATAAGCTGTGAACTACTTTTCTAATCCCTAATTGAAACGAAATAAATACTGATTTGCAAATCAACATTTGTACCATATATAGTATAACCTACAGGGCAGCTTTTAGCTTTTGAGCATATACTCTAATTCACAAGAAATATCCGCGTATTTCCGTTATTGCTTCGTAATAGTGCAGTAAAATTCTTTAGCGGCTTTTTTTACAGTGTTGAAAACTCCGCAATTGCCCAATTATTGATTTTAATTTTATGATTATTTGGGCTAATAAAGGAAATGAAAGAAAAAGTAAGGCCTCAGCAATGCACTTGCAGCAAATGCACTTAAATGAGTATATATGGCAGCCTAAAATAATATTTTACAACTTTCAAAGAAAAAATCAATTAATAAAACTTTTCGCTTGCAGTCAAGTAATGGCTTCCAATTAATGTTATATATATACTCAAGTGGTAAATAGCGTTTACTGGAATATTGAATGAAGGAAAGACCAAAATATGTATACAAGTATTTATGAATGCTTGTAATGATTAAAGTACTTCTTTGAAGGGTTAAATCCACTTGGAAGTCAGATAAAAACCATTTAACGGATCAACTTCAAATATTCGGAGAATATTTTTAAATTTATACTTGTATAGGTTCGATTTACATACATATATACAAAAAAATTATTTTTTTTTTAATTTATCTCTCAAATAATCAACTGTACTCCAATCAAAAGAAATATAACAAGGCAAGGAAGTTTTATATTTAATAGAAACGATTTATATTCTAGTGAAGTGAACACTCACACGTACATATATTCATACACACATCCAAATATAAGTATACATATTTAAATGTGTATACTCAATGATTGCGAGATATTGTTTAATATATAATATTAAATATACATACAAAAACGCACGCATTCAGAGAGTGACTCCCTCACTGCCTAAATTATATTCCAATCGCCGCTGGCAGTGAAATTTCCAAAAGTATTTCAATGTTACGTTATTCTCAATTCACAATTAATGATCAATAAAGCAGTGTGTGCTTACAATGCGCACAGCATACACAATCTGGAGGAACTCTATGTGAAAATGAGCCAATTTAAGTAGTCAATTTTAGATTTAGTGTGTGTCTGTTTGTCTACTTGTGCACATGTTGTTTCGTAAATATGGAAATGTACATCCTCTTGAAGAAACATATGGACATTTTTGAGGTTAAGTAAGAGCAAACAGTCGGGTGGGCTACTGATTCTGGACAGCATTTTGCAGGAAATGTTAAGCCCAAAATATAAGTCGATATTAAAGACTTTGAAAACTCCAACATTTCGGAAACCATCAAAAATCATATGGAAGGTGGAGAGAAAGCATTTTCTATATTCTTCTTTACTTTCATAGACACCTTTTACGTGGATGAAGCCGAGCTTACAACAGCGCGTCAGTCGTCCGTTTCGCTGTTTGGCACCAATTGGAGAACCAAGTGTAGAAAGGTTTCCGTTGAAAAGACAAGGGCGACTATGGCAACCACAGAAGTTTGAATAGGAATTATCCATCTGAAGAACAACAAAGTGGCGGGAGCCGATGGATTGCCGAGTCACGAGAGAACGAAAACATGCCTGACAATGAGAATTTAAGTATGCTCTGTCCAATCCACAAAAACAGAAACCCCACACTATGCCCCAACTAACCTAACCTAAAAAGAACCACGTATGACATATCTGTGAGTCAACGTGAATTGTAGCGTATGTCCACGCTTTTGGGGACCCTAGACGGATGATGGATGTTGATAACGAGTATGCATCCTCCAGGTCATCCGACGTATTTGAGCCGCCGGA